CATGGAGACATAGAGAAGTGACATGTAGACATGCTAGAAGGAAGAAAACCAAGACCGAGTCTTTCCAGCTTATTCCGACACCTGGCAGGGCCTTTTGTGGCGTTCATAGTATTTGGTTCCATTTTGAGCTTGACATTCTGGCACGATGGCAAGCAGGGTTGTATCTCACTCTCCCTGAGGTGTGACTCATCATCCTTGTCAAATAGACAAGTTAACAAAGTGTGGCATTGGGGTGTCATCTCGAGCTATCCAGACTTCACAGCCTGAATTATTAACCACTTAACTGCCCTGCGTGCAATCCATGCCTGGAACTCGGCATCACGGCAGGTGATCAATGAAAATTGGTCTTTAGAGTAGGAAAGCGTTTAAAATATTCTGGGAAGTTCATTCCTGATCTGCCTTCAACAAATATTGTTTACATTTATGGTGCTGTCTGCCAGCCTTCATTTTATTTTATTTTACTTTATTTTTTTCTGTATACAGAGATTTTATTCAATTTTAACAGGCTTCATTTTAGATGCTTTGCAAGAATGACTTCATTTAAATTCTCACAAGAAACCAACAAGGTAGGCGCTATGGTCATCCACATTTTGCCGTAAGGAAACCACAGTGCAGAGAGGTTCCCAAACTTGCCCAAGGTCACACAAGTAATAAGCAGTCACGCAGGTATTCAAATTCAGTCTGACTAGAAAGCCATGTTCTTAAACTTGACTACTATATCCTGAATGGCCACCTATTATAAACATTATAAACATGATGCTATCTATACTGGAGATACATATCACAACGCCAAGTATTGGAAGAGCCCTCTCTCTCTCTCTCTCTCTCTCTCTCTCTCTCTCTCTCTCTCTCTCTCTCCCTCTCAATATGGCAAACCAAAATATGCAGAATTGAAAATCTAAATATCACTACAAGACAAAAAACCAAGAGGTGGCCCAAGAAGCAGAGGGAGAACTAGCATTTCTGGGGCTCCTCTATATCTCATGGATGCCTCAAATCTGCCAAGGCAGACACTGCCCCATTTTACAGATGAGGAAACAGTGGCTACAAGTTAATGGTCCATGTTCACATGGCTGCTAAGGGGCAGAACCACATTTAAACTTGGATTCATGTGGGCTGAAAGCCCAGACTTCTGTAATCATTTTTATTAGCATCTAACATTTTCTCCTTTTTATGTGTCTCCTGAGTGTCCGTGCAAATCCTGTTTTAAAACAAAATAATCTATTATGCCTTGCAGTTGAAAGCAAGTAGAATATCCGTGTAATTCGCCTAAACTCTCACAAACGTTTCTGATCCCATCCTGGAGTTCCTTACACCCTCATTGTGTGTCTGACTCGCATTTCTGCAGACCTGCTTTATGTGGAAGTTCTGCTTCATGGCCTCAGGTTTCAAAAAAACCAAAATCTCCTGATTGGCAAACAGGCTGGAGGCCCCAAAGTCAGCTGCCTAACCGATAACAATGAACAATGGATGTGGAATGTCTGCTCCGTGTACATTCCAGAAAGGTTCGTTACCCAGCTCATCAGAACAAGCCAAGGACACCGCTGCAGCAACACTGGGAGTCACTGATGAATATGTCCATTGTGGGGGCAGTCCCAGCCATGCAGAGGGGAAAATTCCAAACAGACTGTTTTCTTTTTCCCTTTTTTAAAATCACATCACATGATCCCTTCACTCCGATATCAAATATCTTGCTGTTACGAGGAACAAGACTGAATTCTCTTCAGATCAGGAAAGATAACCAACATGGCTAACAGTGGTTCCTGGAAGGAGTCAGGGGATGGTGACCTTACCCTGCTGACGGTGGTGCAACTGATATGGATGTTTATGCCACATTATTTGTTAAGCAAAAAAGAAAAATAATTTAATCTCAATAACATCTTCATTCTTCACATGAGGCTCAATCCTCTTCCACTGCAGCCGCCACCCCGACCCCCATCCCAGATACCACTGTTATTTTGGATCAAATGACACTTACCTATTTTTTGGTCCAGGATAAACACACTGGGCATGCTCAGAGGGTTCTTTCCCATCCCTCCACTTCTGTAAACATTGTGACATGTTTTCATGGTACCGCTTAGTAAAACAGTAAGGGGTGAGGAGCAAGAATGTTATTTCACATCTGACAGTCAGAGTGTCCTGGTTCCAGCCCTGGCTCCCATTCAGCCATTGCCTGGCCAGGTGATCTTAAACAAGTCTGCAAGCCCTGGCAGCACCTTTGTGCAAATAAGAAAAAAAAAAAGTGTCCCTCTGGGGGAGAAACAGGGCTGCCAGCACAGGGCTTGGCAAGAGGACCCCCAGCTGGACTCCAGCCCCACCTCCCCTCAGCCAGGGACCTCAGGCATATCCCATAAGTTCAGCCATTCACAGGACCCTGTGTCCCTGCTTCGATTTATCTCTTGTGAAGCGAGACAGGTAATAAGCGTCCCGCCAAAGTCTCTGCACTGATGAGGTTGAAGTGACATGCAGAATGGATTACGAATCAGCCTAATAGGAGGTTTCTGCTCTGGGTCAATCCACCTCACTTCCCCTGCCCTCCATAATACTTCTAATAAACAGCAAAGACATCATTTATCATTTGAGATTCTTTCCCACACCCCCTCCCCCCCACTCAGAGAACCACGTCTTTCAAAAAAAGCGGGGCAGGCTTCGTAAGCGTGCAGCCTGTGCAGTCGCACTGGGGCCCCACGCTCAGAAAGACCTTGCACTTGGTTTACTGCTCTGAAGTCACCATCTGAAATTCTTATTGATTTCTGAACAAGAAGCCGTACATTTTCATTTTGCTCTGAGCCCCACAAATGATGTTGCTGGCCCTGCCAACAAGTCTTCAGAAGCACCAGATAGGTTTTTTTGCGCCCCACAAAACATTTGGAAAGGAAAACGGTATATGTCACTTCTCTGCTGAACATAAAGACCCCAGTCAGGGTTAGAGTATGAGGCAGGAGGGCGCACTGGACCTGAGAGGTACACTGAGCTGGGAGCAACCCTGCGTCCTGCAAGACCTCAGACAAACTCCTGAATCTGTCTGAACCCAGCTTTCCTTCTCCACAAAATAGGCTACTAACGCCTACTCTCGCCTGTTAATAATGATGAAAGGTCTGTAAGTGAAGAAACTGCCTGGCGCATGGCAGGTGCTCAAGGATAAGTCCCCTCCTGACTTGTTTCTACAACAGCTACTTCAAGATGGGCCACACACTCACATTCCAGAAGGCAGCGGGGCAACAGGTGGCCCTGCAGGTCCCTTTGGCTCTAGGGTTACATGATTCTCCACTAACCAAGGCCTAGCAGCCAGCCCTCTTTCAGTCCATGGGTATTAGTCAGAACAAGTTTGATTGCAAGGGCAGAAACCCAACTCATATTAACTTATGAGAAAGGGGTAGTTTCTTAGTTAATGAAACTGGCAAGTGAAAGGATACGGGCACTGCTGAGGATTTATACAGTGATTCTCTCTCTCTCTCTCTTCCTCTCTCTCTCTCTCTCTCTTTCTCTCTCTCTCTCTCTCTCTCTCTCTCTCTCTCTCTC